ATATATTTATCAACGTTTTATTATTATCAATTATTCAAATAATTATATAGGCGGGTTTGATCGAAGTAAGTGTTAGTCAAGATCTATGAAGTTTGCAAAACGAATGTTTATCAATTATTCAATAATTATATAGGCGGGTTTGATCGAAATGAGTGTTAATCAAGATTGCTCAATAAAATAAAATTTTGACATTAACGTTACTGTTTACACGATTTTTTTAATTCTGACCAGAACTTTTAAAAAAGGATTTGTAGATGTCATAATTTCCGCCCAAATTTAAGTGGCCTAATTCCTCGTGAACATAGCAAAATATATGTATTAAAAAGAAATAGAACTCAACAACCCATCAATATTTTGAAAAAACACTTCCTGTCACATTAAAGCTTGGGTCCTAATCTATGTCATAACAGAGCTATTTTTTAAAAAATTATATACAGAAATGAACTTCTATTCTTTTAAAATCACATACAGAATTGGTGGTTTAAGAGGTCCCACGCCATACAAATAAAAAAGTGCTAAAAAGAATTTTTTTTACAAACCAAAATTTGTTCCATTTACTATTTTGGAATTTTATTACCATAATTTGTTAATATTAATCATATAAATTGTAAAGGTAAATTAATAATTTATTTTAATGCTGAAATTTATTATATATATATTTTCTAATGTGAAATGAGTATTTCTCTATTATTCAATGATATAACTATTTAATTTATAAGCACCACAAACAAAACAGAATAATTAGATCATTTGGGATTTTATAGATAACTTTAATATTTGCATTTTAATTAGCATTAAAATTGATTAAATAGATTTTGGTTCATAAAAAAAAATTGGGAGCATTTCTTCAACATGATGAATTTCAAAACTATGGAATGACACACACACACAAGCTTTACCTACATGGAAAAAGGGACAGGAAAGTTGATCTCATTTAACATGATACATGCAGACATTCTTGACCCCATCATGGAAAAAACATTGTATGATTTGGTCATGAGCCTTTTATTATTAATTTGTTAATTATATATATAACTAAAGGTAAATAATAATATATTTTAATGCTGAAATTTGTTATATTGCTATATTAATTATAAAAACGCAAACAGAATAGTAAATATATTGTTATTCTGCATATAATTAGATATTTAGAAGTAATATTTTAGCATTTTAAAAAAACAGTATGGATTTTATAACTTTTTCCTTCACTGCCAAGTGTTGCTTGTTTGTCTTGCTGATTCTCAACTTTTCAAGAACTGAAATTATTGACCTTCATAGATTGTTTTTAATTGGCTTATATCTCCTGTTCCCATCCACATACATCACATAACATAAACTTCAGATTTGATGCTTTTTTTCTGACATTGGGTTGTATAGCTTTCTGTTTAGAATAAAATTCCCACCTGCCTCATTCTCAACAAAAAAGTCATTGTTTGTGACCTCTAAGGCTCCAAACAAATTGAATTGAATCAAATTTTAGAGTGATTTGTTTTGATTTGATTTGATTCATGACTCAATTCAAATCAATTCAAATCAAATCAGATTCCTAAATTTTTCTTAATGTCATATTAAATACAGTGAATCTCAATGTAGTGTATCTCAATTTAATGGATAATAACAGATTGAGGTTTAATAATAATAATAATAAAATTCTTCTCAATATAATAAATTTCTTGATATAGTCACAACAGATAGATGGGGGACATAATAATTTTATATGTTTTTATATGTGAAGCAAAATTTTAAAAATCTGTTATGATAAGAATTAATTATTATTATGGTCCACTGTGACAAAGTTTGAATATAATAATAATGGATTTTTGGAAAAAATTTTCTAAAACCAAACTATCTGTTAAACCAAAATTGTGTATGTTTTAAGCTTTTTAATTGATAAAGGGTATTATTTAGTGATGGTAGCCAAAACTGTTTTGAAAAAAAGATAGTTTCATCCAATAAGTATCTAAATCAATCTATTTTATTTTAAAAACTCCCAATTTCAGCCATTAAAATTAGTTTCATCAAAGTTTAGGCCAATTAATTTTGGAAATTAAGCATAGTTTCAGCCACCATCACTAGTTCGAATTGAGTTGGGTTGGATCAGTTCAAATCAAATTATACATTCAAGTCAGTTCAAATCAAAATGAATCAAACCAGTTTGAATCAAATCAAATCAGGGTACAATTCAAATTTGATTCAATTTGATTCAAACTGATTTGAATCAAAAACTAGGTGATTCGATTTGAATAAGTTCAAATTTCATTGATTTGTTTGGAGCCTTATTTGTGTCCCTGCTCAGTGGTAAATTGTTTGATCAAACCTAATGCCCTACCACAATCATCAATTTTGCATTTGTGATACAATACTTTTTAGTTGAACTTTCCACTTTCATTATGAAGAAGACACTCCACTTGTTATTACAATCTGTCAACATAACCATTACATCCAATGGAACTGCTGAATTTGCAATAAGTAGTTCTCCTTTGGCTTGAGCTTCTCTTAAATCTTGAGGTTGTTTTTTTTTGTCTATATAGATACACCATGTTTCACTTGGTCCAATGACAATATCAAATCCACCATGTAATATAAATCTGTTTAAGCTGATCTGATCTGGTTATTTAAATACTGAATCTGATCTGATCTAAAATCTGATCTGATCTGGAATCTGAGATCTGATCTGAGATATTATGTTTATATAATAATAATAAAATTTATAAAAAATCCAATGTCAGCTAACACAAAATAATTTACCTTGATCTATATGCTTATTATTTATATTTTCGATATTAAGATCTTTGATCAAAGCCTTTAGATTTAATATTACTTGATCTAAATCTTTGATATAATGTGGAATTGTTTGATTTGTCAGATTTTTGTGCAAAGATTCTGATTTTGATTCTAATGGGATTGGATATAAAAATTTACTAAAAACAACATACTGTTATTATATTATTAATATTATTATAATAATTTATATTGTCCCATTTATATAATTTACCTGAAACCAGTATGACTTGCAGTGACAACTACTTCATTATCATGTTTTAATGATTAATATATATCAAAAGATGGCATGCAGTATTGAATCTTTTGATGCCTATATTATTGGATTTGTATCAATAATTACTACAAGCAAATTGACATCATCTAGTTTATTTAAACAAAAAATTTATTTATTTATATTTTTCAATAATGGTGATGGTGATAACAATATTTATGTACCTCCTGTAACTATAGTATCTTTCAAGGCATTCATTCATTCATTATGACTCAAAAAAGTTCCAATGCGCGACTTTTTCTGTGACATTCAAAAAGTGCAACTTTGCTATAATAAAATAAAATAAAGATGTTTTTAAACTTTGGTTGACTAAAAAAATCTAATTAGAAAGTAGAATCGCATGACTTCGACCCTTATAACTGTTTTTATTAATAAAATTTAAAAAATTCTGCCAAGTTATTATTACTCTACACTATTCAAAAATGGAAATAATATTCTCTTTTCATGGACTGGTAGATTTTAAAAATGTGTTTTTCGAAATATGAACATAATTTTTTCATCGTTGGCACTGTTCCTTTCAAAAATCTTTCTGTAGCGATAAACTAGAGATATTATATTCAAATATGGGAATAGGATCTTTCTTTTTCGTATACTAGCTACATTTCAAAAATATATATAATTTCTTTGCTGAACTGACTGATCGACATTATGTTATTATATGACACCCCAACAAGTCATGCAAGTCATTTGCCAATTAATAAATATTAATACCAAGAAACGAAATTTGAAAAACTAATTTTGAAAGCCACATAATATCCTGACAAGTAAAGATGGCAGAGTTGGAAGATAATTTTAATCTGAGCCTTCTTTCCGTGTATGAAAAGGAGGTTACACTGCCTTGCCAAGTAGTAATAGAAAAATTTTAGTGGCCGGGTGGTCCCCATCAATAAATTGCCACGAGCATAATAATTTAAACTAAAAAAATTTACAATAATATTTATTTTACAAAGTTCATAATGGGAGAGTTTTGACAAAAATTAAGTTTCGGCAGTAGTTTCGGCATAGTGATTGAGTTTCAGCAAAATGATCAAGTTTCGGATAATTAGTTTCTATGAACTTTTTTTTTTGAGTTTCGGCATCATCACATTTTAGTTTAGGCAAACTTCTATAACAAGAACAACACCTGGATTTTTTTTTTTTTAACAGGCTGATCGGCTATCTCTCAGAGATCATTTTCATATTAGGAAGTATATGCTTAGAGAAAATTTTATATATCAGAAAAAGTTTATCAGCCAATTAACCATTTAAGGAATAATTAATTACAGCCATTGAATTATTGTAAAGTTAAATCATTTTTAATCATTCTCATATTATACAGCCCAAATCCCAAATGTACAAAGTGAACTTGGGCCAGCCTGTCAAAGAATCTCGAACTACTTTGTACACCCCAATAAGTGCCGAAAGTGATTAGTAACCCTTTGTTACACTATATCCTTATTGGTTAGGAAAGCAGGACAGAACATTTGGGTTTGTGCATTTGGGATTCGATTTTTTAATTTGGGCAGCACCTATATTCCATATACCTAAATTCCCAGAAAATGGAATGTATGCAATAGTTCAAAATTACCAACCAGAAGGAAACTTAAGAGATTATTTACAAACAAATCATTCAAATTTAACATCAAAAGATAGAATTACAAATTTATGCGCATTATATTTTATTCATGAAAGATTTAGGATTACGTGGACAGTTGATGATAAATTATCAAATAAAATTTATGGAATTGTATCATATGTTGCACCTGGGCTATTTAGAGTGTTGGAATGTTAATGCAGGAATTATTTGCAGGCAATCCACCATTTGATAACAGAGCTCATAATCATTGCTTAATGATAGATATATGCGAAGGTTTACAACCACCAATATTATTAGGAACGCCGATGAACATGTACAAATGATGCAAAGATGGATCTAGCCAAGAGACCAACTGCTGTAGAGCTTTGGAAGTTTTCTGTTGATAAATTTATGAAACTGGTAGTAGTAGTAATAGCAGTGATATTAATAATAGCAATGATACAATTTAATAAGGTAAATTAAATAGTTAATTAATTAATTACTAATATTAATAAATGATAATAATAAAGGTTGGCAGGGTTGAAGTTTTAAAAAGTTGGAAAATTGTTGATGGATAATTAATTTCACCATTTTTATTTGTTATTTCAATAAAGAAAAACGAAAAATAAATTATACATCATCTGACTTTAAATAAATTCATAGATAATAAAATTTATAACTGTTGGTAAAAGTGAAGTAATTCTGAAGTATCCTCACGACTCAATTTAAAGCAGCAACATGGTCTTGTATAGGAATTCTCAATGCATGATATTTGAAAAGTCTATAAAATAAATAATTCAAGTATCACGGGATTATTAATTTTCAGTGCTTACCGTAATAAATTTTTTACTATAACACAACAACAAACAGTAATTGAATTTAGCAATATGTCGCGAAAAATAAAAGTAATTGAATATAAATTTAGCATTAATAATAATAATATGTCGCCAAAAGTCTACTAATAAAAGAACTAGGAAATGCATTTTGTTGGTCATCAATTGATCAATCAAACAAAGAATGAGAGGGTTTTAATTTGGGGATGAGAAAAACCAATTTTGAGTCTTATGAAAGAAATTCATCATTCACATATAAAGAACTCGGTTAAAACATGGAATTACGGAAATACATTATGCAGACTTTGGTACCGTTATAATTTCAATTCCATTAAGTTTGAATTTAAATTTATAAAATAATTTTATTTTTGATATTATAATCAATGTAATTAGGAAATTTATATATTAATATATAATATTAATAATATATATGTTCCATCTTGAATCAAATCAATACCCCTATTTCAAATCGGGTTTTATTTAGCCTTCCCGATTTTAAAAATCTTATGTTTGGTTTTGGAATTGATTCTCAAGCTATTATTAAGTATTATTAAGGTAATTAGTTAATTAGTACCATCCATCACCTCAACAAAACAAAAATGATAAAATGTCATAAAGATGGATATTTTATACTTGGCTTTATGGATGATTTATTTAGTAGAATCCTTTGTACTATATAACTCTATAATTTATATCAAAAATTAAAAATAGAAACTAAATAACTATTTATTACCTTAATCAATGACAAATACGTAACAACAGATTTAGATTAAATTCTAAATATAAATCTGGGGTTACAAAAATCCAATTCTAGATTGGCGCAACATATCAAAATGTAGTTGATTAATATAATATTTAATATTACGGGAAATGTACCCCAAAAATTAGCCTGAAATTGTGCCTCATTTCTAAAGATATTTTTTATCTTTAATATTAATGAACGAATCTTCTGTTTTTTTTCCGACTCGGAATTAGGAATTTTTTTGATCAAGACAATAAATAGTTCAATTAAAATATATAAAAAAAAATCTCTACGTCTTCAAATATGTCGTGCAACTATTTATACATGACATAATAAATTGAAATATTTCCTCCCTTAATTATTCCAAGTAATAGTAATAACGATTTATGATCTTTAACTTCTCCCTATAGAATATATATATATATACATATACTTGTAACATTATATAAAACTATAAAAACAAATAATAAATAAAAAGAAATTTTTTTTAAAACATTTTTTGTTTCTCTAAATTATAAAAAAATCCAAAATGTCTTCTTTATCTAACAATAACAATAATAAAAATAAAAATAAAATTAATAATAACCATACTGCTACTTCAAGTAGTAGTAGTAGTAGTAGTAGTAGTAACGAGAAAAAAGTTCAAGAGTAAGATTTATTTAATGACCAAATAAAAAACTTGACAACAACAATAAAACTAATATTATTGTTAATTATTATTATTAAAAGATTATTATTAAAAGTAGGAATGGTTGGAGATTCTCAAATTGGAAAAACTAGTTTGATGGTTAAATATGTAGAGGGTTCATTTGATGAAGATTATATTCAAACTTTAGGTAAAAAATATGCATGTTTGAGTTTGTGTATGAGAGAAAGTATTTTCTTCTAGCAATACTAATAATAATTATTATTTTAGGTGTAAATTTTATGGAGAAAACAATTTCTCTAAGAAATCATCAAATAACCTTTAGTATATGGGATCTTGGTGGTATGTTATTATAAAATATATATATATATATATATATATATATATATATATAATACATAATATATAATAATTAATAAATCATATAATAATTTTTTAGGACAACGTGAATTTGTTAATATGTTGCCATTAGTTTGTAATGATGCGGCGGCTATTTTATTCATGTTTGATTTAACACGTAAATCAACTTTAAATAGCATCAAAGAATGGTTTAGGCAGTCTAAGGGATTTAATAAAGTAATTATTTAATTATTATTATTTAATTATTTATTATTTATTATTTATTATAAAAATGACAATTAATAACTTATAAATCTTTTAGGGGGCAATTCCATTTCTTATTGGTACAAAGTATGATCAATTTACACTTTTCTCAGACGAAGAAAAACAAGTGATCACAAAACAAGTAATTTCCACTTCTTTATTTCAAATTTTTTTATTTCCTTTTTCTTTTTCTCTAATCATTTTTCTCTAATCAGGCTCGTCGATTTGCCAAAGCAATGAAAGCATCATTAATATTTTGTTCAACGTCTCATTCAATCAACATTCATAAAATATTTAAAATAGTATTATCAAAAGCTCTTGACATAAAATGTACAATTCCAGAGATTGATGAAGTTGGTGCTCCAATATTAGAGTATATTAATACCTAAATATAATATTTTTATTTTAATATATATTTTTTTTAATTCATTAATAAAATTAACATAATTGTCTAATTTGTACATCTATGTAAGATTATCCTTTCCTTTTTTATTATTATTTATATTAAATAAAAAAATTGATCTAAAAATGGATCTCATTGTTTATATTATTGATATTAATGTTCTAAATGCGTAAAAGAGTTTTTATCACTCCAAAATATATAAATATTTATTCGTTTTTTTCATGTTTCTTGCTCATAAATATATAAAAAATGTCTAAAAGAAACATAACAGTTCCTCCATTATATGTTCAAAGATATGATTTTTTTAAAAAATTTGCAATTTGTTGCTTTATTGTCTTTGTTGCCTTTAACGTACTCGGGTATCTTTTTTACAAAGATGATTTACAAAATAATCCAACTGGATTACTTGATGAACAATGTAATGATGTGAGTTTTTAATTATAATTTTTTTTACAAGTATTAAATGTTTAAATTTAAATTTTAGGATCATCTAACAACACCATTATCATCTTATACCAAGGTTAAAGTCAATGATACCAAATCTGCAAATACTGATATTACTGATGCCAATGTATTACCAGAAAACAATGACATTTTATCATCATCATACATAAATACCAACAATACGAAAGAAAAACTTTCAAAACGTGACAAAGAAATAAATAAAAAATATTGCGGAAAGCCAAATTGTAAATTCTTATTTGCTTATTATCTACCAGAACAAGAGACCAAGGCAAATGCGAATTATAGATCGTTTGTTACTCTTGCAAAAAAATTAGATCGCATTATGGTTTTGACAAATGTTGGTAATAGTAGAATTAATTCATGTCAAAACCTCACTTTTGATTTTTATTATGATGTCGATGAACTTAAAAAAAAAATGTATCCTGATGTCAAATTTATAACACAACAAGATTTTCGTGACTGGTCGAGGGAACGTCACAAGAAACCAAATACTGAACATGCATATATTTTACCAGGTGATAGAAATAGCACAGTAGAACTTGTCAATCCATACCCTGATCAACTCAAAGAAGAATTTTGTTTGAATTTATTCGATTTCAATTTGAACGATAAAACTATATTCAAACAATTTCACACTGGTGCAAAATTTTACAGAGAAATAAAAACTTATCAAATGTTCTCTGATCTTCTTGTTAGCAATTTGATAACAAATGTTGATGTGTTGTTAGCATCTCATTTAATCTTCCATCCATTATTTCCAGAAATCGCACCACCAATACCTTATGCAAAACATTTTCTTGAAGAATCAAAGAGGGTCTCAACAAAACTTCATCCTTACATAGCTGTGCATTGGCGTATGGAAAGAGCAACGCTTAGCTTACTGAAGGAATGTTCAACGAGACTAGTAGAAAAAATTAAGGATATAAGTTTGATGTATGGAATAAAAAATGTTTATTTGGCAACTGATTATCCACTCACTGGTGGGGCTCAATCTTCAACGTTTGATTCGTTGACTGATCTCCATCATGACGCCATTAGATATTTGAATTCCTCGGTGAATGTTGATAATTGGGTAACAATGGATGTTTTTGGTGATTTGCGTAAAAATAAAACTTTTGATTCCGAATTTTCTGGTGCTGGTATGCCGGGGATTGTAGATAAATTGATTTGTATAAATTCTAAATTTTTCTTGGCTACGCCTGAAGGATGTGGTAGACAACAAAGTACTTTTACGACAATGATTGTCGATCAAAGAAACGAAACTCTGTTAAACTTGGACAACATTACAAATATTAAAGATGATAATAATGATATTGATAATGATAACATTTTAAATGTTGTTGAGAGATGGATGTAAAAATAAATATAATTATATAATGAGAATCTTATATATTTATATATTATGGGAATATTATCTATATATACTTTTTTTTTTTAATAATAATAATAATATAATAATAATAATAGATGACAAAATTAACATAGATATGTATATTAAATTATTTAAATACAAAGGAAAAAAAAATAAAGAATTCTTCTATAAAACAAAAAATCTTTAAAAATTTTTCATTTATTTTTCATTTATTCTTTCAATTTCAGTTATGTTGGTGTCAATCGTTGAAAGAATGCTATCCCAAGAAATAAAAATTTCAGAAAGTGTATTCACCTATTAAATGATAAAAAGTTTAAAAATCAACATAAATATCGTTAAATAATGTTTTTAAATATATTTCGATTGTTAAACAATAGAAAGAAAAAATAAATAAACAATATTTACGATTCCATTATATCTATCCAATAATTGTGTCATACGAGCAGAAACTTGATTTGTTCTAGCTGCTTGATCGATATGTTTACCCTCGATTGGTGTAATTTCTGGAAGATATTTGTCAAGACCTGAAAGATAATAATAATTAATATTGTGCTGATGATGGAGAGAGATGTGACATCTAAACAAAACATAAAATGTAATTGATACATATAATTAAAAACCAACCTTTAAATTCTGGTGCATCGATCACAGATTGCAATTCATCAATTTGTTTTAAATTTTCAGCTACTTGTTCCAATTCTTCGGCTGAGGAAACAATAATTTCTGCCTTTGCTTCAGGAGTTAATATAACTCTTTCCATAGCAAGTGCTGAATTTTTAAAAGGTGATACTAAATCTGACACTTGGTCGTCTAATGGTATTTATAATAAATAAATAATAACATAACATAATAATAAATAGATGATAATTAATACAATATAACAATAATAGTAGTAATAGTAAAATAATAAATATAATATAATAATATAATCACAAATCTCTAAAAATGATTTCAAACTGTCAGCTCCATCTCGTTCTCTTATAATAGTATTAAATTCTTTTTTTATTTCTTCGACTTTTTTCAACAACGAAATTTGTTCATTAGCATTATTATTATTATTGACATTAATATTTTTTTCAATTGTTTTTTTAGTCACTGGGTCAAATCCAAAAATTGATTTCTCTAAATGGTGTACTCGAAAGTCCAAACTTGTAAAACTTTGTTTTTCTACTAGCATGTCTTCTGCATTGAATATATCAACAGGATTGAGTTTAATTTTTTTTTCTTCTTCTTCAAAGTCTATGCCGTCGTCGTTGATGTCGGTTTCCTCTTTATCTTCTTCCAAATTATGACCGTATTCTTCACTTAAGGATAATATCAAATTTTTTTGGTCTTCCAATAATGAAAGTCTTTTTACAAGTTCTCCAGTTTCCATTGCATATTTTTTATTATTATTTATTTCTTAATATGAAAAAAAATTAATTATAGAAATTAATTCAAAAAATCACAAGGCAATGTTTCACTCGCATCCAAATTCAAATAAAAACAACTTGGTATTTTAAAGCAATATAAATAAGATCGGCAAAATTTGGATAATAATAAATAAAGTCGATCGTGTTTATGAAAAAGGTTGGATTTTAAATTTTTTTATTTGCAAATTATAAAAAAAAAAATTAAAAAATAGTTGATACACTACATATATTTATCATTTAATTTTGAAATTCAATATTAAAATTATTGTTATTATTACTATATAAAATTATTTGCTAAATTTTACCAATGTGAATGATTCATATTATTATTTGCGCCATATGTACGTCCAACAAGATTGTATCTTGAACGATCTATAATAAGTATAAATATAAAATTTTAAATTATTTATTAATAATATAAATAATATAAGATATTAACATCGACTTACTATTATTAGAACTTGGTACAATTTTAACCAACTCTAATAATTTGGAATCTACTTCTTGATTGGCTTCTCTTAGTATATTCACTAAATCTTTAGCCTGCCTAGCATTATCCATTGTGAAAAATGTTACAGCTAAACCTTTTGCCCCACCACGTCCTGTTCGACCAATTCGGTGAACATAATCCTAACAATAAAAATATTTAAATAAATGTTCATTTATATATAAAAAAGTAACAATAATCTAATCAATTGATTTAAACACCCACCTCAACATTTGTAGGGAAATCATAATTGATGACGAGCTTAATATCCTTAACATCTGAAGTCCAAAAAATTTTTTGTAAACAAATCAAAATCAATCAAATCACAGCATCTGGCTACAATAATAGCCAAAGGTACTTATCCAGTCCAGCGTCAAAATGATAGTGATGCACACAATGATCTAACACATATATATCACGCTGTTTCAGCAACGTGAAATAAACATTCACCATCAAACAGACTACCAGACAGAACAATAAAATAAAATAATAATACAAAAAAAAAAAAACAAATACAAAAAAAAGAGATATGCAAGCCCCAAATAAATGCCAGGATATATGAGCAACTGCAAGCAAACAAAGTATCATTAAAAAAAAAACCACTATTATTTCCCTTTTGAGATAAAGAAATATAAAATAAAATGAAAAAGATGACATCCATGTACGAATCTCCTTATTGAAGAACTTTTCATCCAATAAAAAAGCTTCGCCTATTTACTCGTTGCCCACGGCTACTGCTGGCATTTTTAAAGGGCCCTACATACACACATATATATAATGTTATGAAAACAAAAGACGTAAATAATTTTTAAAAATCACTATACCGATTCCTCTAGATGCAACATCTGTAGCAACCATTATAGGGGATCTTCCAGTACGAAACTCACTCAGCACCCAATCACGTTCAACTTGTGCCTTATCACCGTGAATTGCAAGAGCTGGCCAACCATCTTGTCGCAAAAATTTTGTTATTTCATCTGCTGTACGTTTGGTAGCAGTAAAGATTAATGTTTTATTCTCTTTTTGATCTATAATACGTTCAAGGTGCCTAACCAATCTGTAAAAATAATTAAATAATTAAATAATTAATTATAAATGTAAATGTATATATATATATATATAAACGAATAAAAATTACTTTGTACGTTTCTCATATTCAGAACAGACTTCAACCGTTTGTGTAATGTTGTGACTTGCGGATAAATCTAATGAACCTATGTTAACTTGAATAAAATCATTTAAATAATCCTCAGCAAGTCGTTTGACCTCTTTAGGCCATGTTGCACTCCACATAAGAGTTTGCCTATCAGGTCTAATTTGATCAACTATTTTACGAATTTGAGGTTCAAATCCCATATCTAACATACGATCAGCTTCATCGAGTACAAGGTAAGTAACTCGACGAAGATTAGTTTTTCTAGTTTCTAACATGTCTATTAAACGACCCGGTGTAGCAATACAAATCTCTACTCCTGCAGACAATTCACGTACTTGTGGGCCTCTGGGAACACCACCATAAACACAGGTATTTTTAATCCTTGATGATTTTCCAAATTTTGTACACTCTTGTTGAATCTGAATTGCCAATTCACGTGTAGGAGCCAAAATTAACACTATTGGCCCATCACCAGGTTCAAGAAATGGTTGGGCATTTATATGAACAATTGCAGGTAAACAATAGGCCAAAGTCTTACCAGACCCAGTTTCAGCAATACCAACTAAATCACGGCCAGAAAGTGCCATCGGCCATCCTTGGGACTGAATTGGTGTTGGTGCTGTAAAACCAAGATTTAACACTTCTTTTAAAACATATGCTAAAACATATATATAAATATAAATAAGAATATGGAGATTTAATAGTTATATTATATATATACACACACACATAAGTAAAGTATAATTACCAGGAAAATTTGCTTCTTCAAAAGTTTCTACAGGTTTTGGAATACTATTACCAAATACCGACATCTCTTGTTTTCTACGATACTCCTCAACCTCTATTTCTGATCTCGCCATAACATTAGGATGTTCGCGATAAAAATTTTTTTCAAATTTTGGTAATTTTGAAAAATCCCATTCTTGTTTAACTAAACTAGCACCAAGGGTTGACATGCGACTGCTACTAGTAGAATATATAGCATTTGGAACTGAATAATAGTTAAGGGTAGGTGCAGGTGCAGGTGCAGGTATATAATAGTTAACGGGGGCAGCAGCGGTAGTGGCGGTGGTGGTATAGTTAGTAGTGTTGGTGGCAGTATATCTATTGTCACTAACTGGACTACGATCTCTATTTGCAGAAATACTTTGACTTTCAAATCTTTAATTTTATGAATTTAATAAAATAAAGGAAAATGAATATATATTTTTTTTAAAACTCATAACTTCCTTAATATAATTATCGCCCAAAAAATTGTTTTATTTGTCACTTACTCTTTGAGATCTCTTCGACTATACATCTTTTTAAATTTACTTATTTATTAAAATTATTTTTGAAAATTTATAAATTGTACAAAAAAGCTTGAATAAATAAAAGGGTAATTTAATTATTATATATAGTATTTATTTCGTACACCCGATTTTTTATTATCTACAAAATTTATCTCTCTATAAGTCGATTTTTTTTTGACTCGGTTTAACGAGTCCTGAAGATTTTTTCAATTATCACATTATTACATCACAAAAAAAAAATTTTTTGATATAATTTTTTTTCATCGATAATTTTCTTTCTTTGGAGAAGAGAAACAAGTAACAAATTTCTCTATATTTATTGTCATTTATTCATTAAATGAATAAATAATATCAATGAATAAATACTAGCAAAAGGGCTATAGTTGTATATTATTAATTTTAAAAAATTTATTGATTAAATAAATATTTTATTTATTAGAGAGGAAAAATAAAAAATGAAGCATAATAATCAACTTCCAAATGTTCATTTTCACAAGGATTGGCAGTTAAGAGTTAAAACTTGGTTTGATCAACCTGGACGTAAGAAAAGAAGAAGATTAAATCGTATTCGTAAAGCTACTAATATTGCACCAAGACCAATTCAACTTTTAAGACCAGCTGTTAGATGTCCTACAGTTAGATATAATACAAAATTGAGAGCTGGCCGTGGATTCACTCTTGATGAACTTAATGTTAGTCAATTGATAGATTGATGGATTGATTCTTTCTTGCATTATATTGTACTATATTTATTATATATAAAAATAGGAAGCAGGGATCCGTCGTAAGGAAGCTCTTACTCTTGGAATTCCTGTAGATCACAGACGTAAAAATCGATCAGTTGAATCCCTTGCACTCAATGTTCAACGTTTGAAGACATATAAAAGTAAACTTATCATCCTTCCAAAGAAAACTACACCAAAGAAAAAGACTGCTGATGATATGGTAATAATAATTAACAATTATCATTATTATTTCCAGCAAGTACAGATTAATAAAATTTTTTTCTGTTATTAATAATGAAGGAGGTGGATTCAGAAGAAACTAAACAACCCAAAGGAACTATTTTGCCAATTGAACAAAAATGGGATAAATCTAAAGCACGTCCTATTACAGAAGAAGAGAAAAAATCCAGTGCATATGCTACTTTACGTAAATTGAGATCCGATGCACGTCTTGTTGGTATACGTGAAGCTCGTCGTAAAGCTAAAGAAGAAGAAGAAGCTAACAAAAAGAAATAAGTAAACTGGTAGTTAAAGATGGCATTGTAATAAATATTTTGGTATTTTGAATGAATTTGTTAATAAATATTTGATACTTTGAATGAATTTGATATTTTTTAATTTTGATAAGAATATTTTGAATTTATTTTTTAAAAAAAAAATATATATATAAAATAATAAAAAGTATAATATAATTTATTAAAAATTTTATAAATAATTTATATAAATAAATAAATAAAAATATTTATGAAGGAATTCAAAGGAAAAAAAATATTATTAACTGATGATATAATAATGTTTTAATAACAAAAAAAAAGGGAGAAAAAAATATTTTTGGAATTACAAGATTACAAGAAATTTTATTATTAAAAAATTATATAAAGTTCTATACTATATATTTGTGAATGTGTTATTGTGTGTATATATAAAATCAATAATAATATAATTAATTTATTTGTTTTTATTTATATATAATATATATAATATATAAAGTGTGTATATGTATGTATGTATGTGTATAAGTTCAAAATATATATATATATAATAATATTATTAATTTTTAAATAAATAAAACCAATTTTCTTTAAAAAAAAAAAAAATAATAATTAAAAATTGTGTGTAAATTTATTCTCATTATTATTTCAATCTAATTAATTATTATATATTATATATATTATATGAATGTGTATAGATATATATGTATATGTGTTGTATATTGTATATTTATATATAAAGGAAAAAAAGGAAGAAAAAAACCAAATTTCTTTTTATTTTTTGGGTTTATTCATATTAGGATTCACAGCACACATCCAAATTCTTGTTTTGTAGATTTTAAATAAATCTCGAACTAAATCACGGAAATCGATTCTTCGTTCAGCAATAAAATAAAAAGTTAATTTACGACGGTCCCTATTAATATAATAATAATCATTAATAATAATTCTTTTAAAAAAAAAAATCAAAATCAAAATTATTTAGTTATCATTACCATTGATATTCGGCATCAACAACCTCCATTGGTAATTTCTTTTGACGTACTTTTGTTTGGCAAACTAACATAGCTTTAGCTTCATCTTGACTCTTTGTAACAAGCATTGTAATTTCTTGTGGTTGAGCTAAACGATATATACGTTTGGGATGAATTTCTTTGCTGACTCTGTGACCTTCGTTCATAGCATCTTGTTGTTGTTGTTGTTGTAATGTTCTGATTTGATGTGGCATGATTGTATCATTTGTCACCTTACCCAAATCTTTACCCCTGTCAGCTTCTACAATAACTAAATCCCCCTTTTTAACCAAAACTCCACTATTTTCTGCAACATAAAATAAATCTGTTCGTCCTGCTTTAAATTCAACCAAAAATAATGGACCATGTGGTGGAATTGCGTGAAGTGGAAGTCCTTTACCAAGTTCATTCCATGCTCTAGTACGATGTTCATCATTATCAAAATAATCATCAATATCCTCTGGAATACTAGCATAACTTGTATCATTGGTGTATGATGCTGGTTGTACATTACTTAAATGGAGTGATTCCAAAGCTTCTGATATATATCTGGTTTGTTGATTATTTGTAAAAGAGATTGATGGTCCTGCGACTGAATGTCTTCTTTGAACAAGGTGTGCAATAGAAGATGGATCCATCGTGGTGGTAGTACTATAATATAAATAATAAATATAAAAAATGAATGATATTAATAAGTAAATAACATTAATTCTTAAAATATATATATATTTTTTTTTCAAATAGTTACCGATGATTATGTAGTCTTAAATCTTGGCCTCCGTCCATATATTGATAATCATGATTATATGTTGGAACCTGTGAAAGAGAGAATCTACGTTGCCTAAGTTTCTCCAATCTTTCACGTTCACCTGGCAATCCGCCTACCATTGCTAAGTATGATGAGGAAGCATTTTGTTGTCTGTGTGCACTAAAACTATCCCACATGCCACCACCGCCTCCATTGTTACTGCTTGCCCCACCACCGCCACCATAATCAGAAGCGCCAGGGATCGAACGTCTGTGATGAAGAATTGGAGGATCATTTTGAATAGAAGAAGCTTGATGACCATTCCAAATTGAACCTGAATCAGAATATTGCTCAGATTCCCTACGATATTCGCTTATATCATCAGAAAATTCAGGATGTGGAGGAATGGCACCATATGCAGCAGCTGAAGATTTAGATCTTGCTCTGAACTTCATGTTGAAATTTGATAGGTCATCAGTTTCTTCTTCCATGACGGGAAGTGCATGACGATAAGCAAATCTTAGACCCGCTTCACTTTCACGACGAGGATTGGAAGATGAAGAAGATATGGGAGCATAGCCAAACAAATCAGTATCATGTTGACCAACTGAAAACGAAAGACTTCTGTGTTGACGATACTGTGGATTTGGTGGTACGGGAACAGGTAGTTTACCTGATATACCAGGTGGAGAACTCATTTCCCTCTCATATGGAGAATTACTGTTGGAATCATCGCTTTTTGTCGTTGGAGGTGGAGGAGTTGGTGATAGGCGAGTGTTTGATTTGGAAGCAGGATTAATTGAAGACGATTGTTGTTGTTGTTGTTGCTGCTGCTGTAATGATTGTTGTAACTGTTGATGATGATGCTGTTGCTGTAATGCTTGGTGTTGTTGCTGTAGTGATTGTTGTTGTTGCTGTAATGATAGTTGTTGTTGCTGTAATGATTGTTGTAATTGTTGATGTGTCTGCTGTTGCTGCTGTTGATGATGTGATTGTTGATTTTTTTCATTCCAAATTGAAGTAGATCCAGTAGCCCATTGTAGACCTCCCAAAGTACCCCATTTACTATTACCATTATTTGCATTATTATTAACGCTTGATATACTATCGCTACTTCCATTTGTGATGTTAACAATACTTTGTTGTGTTAATGGTAGTGGAGGTGAATTGGTAGTTATGATGGTGTTGGAATTATTGGGAGAGATGGATGGGTTGGTGGGGGTGGAAGACGTATTGTTTGTTGTAGAGAGTAGTCGAGAAGTTAATTCTGAAACACCACCGTTGAGATGTCTTTGTGATGCGGTAGTGGTAATAGGTGTGTTGGTAGTAGAAGGAGTCCTACGTAACTTTTCACGATTATCATCATCAGATTTTTTTGAATGAAAGGCTTGATATTCATCAGGACTTTGTGGGACAGATCGGATAACATTTGTAGGCGGACTTCCAACAACTTTCCAACTTTGGCTATATGTAGTAGTAGAAGTGGCTGATATGGTTGGAGAATTAGATGATGATGATGGAGCACCACGATCACCATTGATATTATTCGATTTATTCGTTACAGATGCAGGATTAGACGATCTACCACTATTATTAGACTTTGACTATTTTATATTAATATGAAATTTTTAAAAAAGAAAAAGAAATAAAATCAATTAAAAGATCCTTATTTCACACCTAAATAAAATTTAATATTATTTAATAATAATTAATCTCTAATTTTTTTTTTTTGTGAAAATTATATATTATATATAGTTAAATGTAATTAAATAAATATAAGCTCTCTTTCAATGTATTAAACAAAATGAATGAATGATGGCATTATTGTTGTTGTTGTTGTTGCATGTTATTATAATAAATTATATATTTATATATATAGCTCTCACAAAGAATCCTAAAATTCATAGTCTCATAGTCATTGTTGTTTTTCCTTCTTTAATGACATTTTACTTACAATCTTCCAAGTATTCTGAATTGGTTTTGACTCTTTTTGCTAACAAATTATTGTATATAAATATAAAGATTTTTGATTGATGTGCGTGAATAACAACAACAACAATAACAGTAAAGGAGTAATGGTGATGATAATGTGGTAAATTAATTGGAAAAAAACTCTTGAATGTGATATTTATTTTAAATTAATTAGGGGAAAAAAAGAAACATAAAAAAAGCTTACCTCCATTATTATTTATTATTTAATATTATTATTATTACTAATAAAAAAAAAGATATTTTTTAAACCTGTTAAAAGCGGAGTTTGATTATAACAGAAGAATTAAAGATTTTGCTTTCAAAGTCATAATTTTTTTTTAACAATGATTTGTCATAACTTTTTTAATGAAATGTACAGTCTGACCTCTGAATAATCACATACTTAGAACCAATAAGGTTTTACTTTATAAAATCGAAGCTACAATGATGTGATTATTTAGAGTAAGAAGTGATTATACAGAAGTTGAATCGTATTTTTCACATTAAATTTTCCATATCCCTAATTCTTATTCTATTTATTCTATTGTAGTTTTGTGCGAAAACCGATTTTATTATTTAGTTTCTATTTATAGTTAATATTAAATTTACATTGCACAAGGGACACTACCCTCGGAAGCAAAGATTTGCATCCGGTATCCGATCCAGTTATTTTTGCCTATTACTATTACTATGACGCTATTAATTTAAATTCTTTTATGGGATTTATGCTAATTCAAAATTTTTTGTAGAACTCTTCCCACGTGTAATCACAACGTTCATTCACAATTATGTTTGAAGTAAAAAATACATAAATGACCTAACTTTAAAATAGTTTCTTCTACGTAAGGCTCCTAACAGATCCGGATCAGATTTGAAAGAAATCTGAACTGACCTGAAATCTGTTCAAGCCGATCTGGTCCGATCTGGTTCTTTAAAATATTGGTCCTGATGATTTGGTTCTTTAAAATATTGGATCTGATCTGATGATTTAGTTCTTTAAATATTGGGTCTGATCTGATCTGATGATCTGGTTCTTTAAAAATATTGATCTGATCTGATCTGATCTGATCTGATCTGAAATATCTTATATAATAAAAAAATTATTTTTAAACAATTAAAAAATTGAATTAAGAAATTACTTATAAATTAAATTTTAATATATGTAGGAAAAAATTCAAAAAAAAAAAAAATTTATATTAATATATAATACACGCATAAAAACGTATTATAATAAATAATTAAATAAAAATAAATCATCATTTTGCAGTTTAAGTCACCGAATTATATATATTTTTAATATTTTCATTAAAAAAAAAAAATTTCAGCCAAAAATCTTTGTTTTTTTAATTGTTATTTTCCTAGACATGATAGAAAATTTAAATTTTGCATGAAAAATTTTGTGAATCCTAAGCTGAAAAATGGTGTTTTTTATTTAATTATTATTATAGGCATTTTTTGTTTAAAAGTGCGCCTGACTTTTGTACATAATTATCTACCAGATCCGACCTGATCCGGTTCAAAACAAATTGCAATTTAATATGGTCTGATCTATTCGGAGCTTTACTTCTATGTATAACTGATTCTTAGTTTTTATGATCAGGCTGCAAGGACGAAATCATCTCCTTTGTATAAATACAAAAAAAAATTTTTAAAATAATTAATTTTGCACTTTAAAAATGTCTGTCGAAAGGAATTTGATGAGGCGAAAAAGAGCTTAGAGGGTTGGA